CCTTTGAAACAAGCACACCGCAATAGCCACACCACCAGAAGGCAGCCACAAGGATGCTACTGCAAAGAGCTAGCACTGAGTTATTATACTGGAATGCCAAATATTTAATATTGCAGTGATAAAACAACATGTGTTCAGTACAATAAGACTGTTCCTGCCCAAAGCAGCCCACAAACTCCACACACAGAAAATACAAATTAAACACTGACAGCAGAAAAAGATTCTGTTTTGTTGCAAAAACAAAAAGCAAACAAACATTTTGTTGTAAGGAACAAAATGTTGACCTCTGCAAATTTGGGAAGACTTCAAGAAACAACATAACTGCATGGAAGAATGTGCAGGGCAGCAGAATAAAGCGGTATCTGGCCTCTAAAGGCCTACGCAGCACTGCTCCCCTCCACCTCCCTTGCCACTTCCACACGCCTCACGAAACAACAAGTCCAGTATAAAAATAAGTTTCAGACCAATACATATACTACAATTTATCCCAAATCTCTACCGTTTGTGACTCACTGTAAATACACATATAGACAAATGCCCCCCTTCCCATTTGTCAGCATCCCAAAATACAAAGGAAAAATAATTGCTGAGCTGGGCTGGCTGAGCATATTTCAGGCAACTTAAAAAAATACAACAAAAAGTTCAGGGAGTTCAACTGAATGAGTCAAAAGTCATCAGTGACATACAAACTGAATTTATGAATGTATTTGAAGTTTTCCATGTGGTCTCCAGGTCACACATTTTAACTGCACAAACTGCTCCCTGGAACCTTTAAATAATCAACATTGTGGGTTTTTTCTACTTGCCAACTGCATTGCCCATGAGCCACATTTTACTCTTTAGAGTTAAAGAAAAACTCCCACAGGCTTTTGTTACTGATATTTACAGACGAGAACTTTTGCAAAAATGCAATGCAAGTTTTATCAGTGAAAAGTTTAAGAGTTTCAAAAAGAATATAATAAACAATTACAGCTTTTTAATGAAATTTTTCTTGTTCAGACATATCCCAGACATTTCCAGACATGACTAAACTCCAAGATTCCCATTTCCAATTAACACATGCATGTTACCCAATGAGCCCTTCCCCCAAAGCCACTCAGCATGAGATTACTGCAGAATCTGATGGTCTTTAGTAGAGTATTTGGCCAAACTCCAGCTCCACCAGCCTTCATGCTTATTTTTATAGGCACAGCCTCCAGCTTTGTGCTCTGGTATGCAACCTAGCACCCAAGTCCATTAAACTTTCCATCAAACACACATGAAATTGAACAACAGGTAATCAAGCTGTAGTCTGTTCTCTAACTGTTAGGAGTACTCTTACTGCCTTGTTTGCACCGTGGCATGAAACTTAGATGACTTTATTGAAAGGGCTTACAGTAACCAGGCCCAGGATGGTACAAGAGGACCATCAGGGGATCCAGATCTGAATGCTCTTGCAAGTGGTAAATGGAGCTGGCACTAGGATCTCCAACATCAAACATTCAGCATCAAACATAACTACTGTGAAAGAGACTAGAAAAGACAAAAATTGTATACTCTTCCAGTGGAATGAGTCCGTTTATCTTGTCATCTTTGGCTACAGGGAGAGACTTGGCACTGTTCACTGATGGCTCGATCTGACTCTCGCATGTACCTATCAAGACTAACTAACACGATTATGCAACATCTGTCCAACTTTACAGCGTTTTCAAAGCTATCCGTGTTACAGGTCTCATTCCTCACAACAAATCTTTTGAAGATTGTAACTGCAGCTCCATTTTAAAACTAACATATGTAGCACAGACACAGACGTGACTCTACAGAAAACTCCTTAGAAACTGATGTTGAGTAAGCCCCGGTTTACTGCTGTAGAAACATTTAATTCTGTTCATATGGCTTCAGTTTGACTTAGTTTTTTAAACTTAGACACAACTTTTGGTAATGCCTACAATGAAGCACTGACATGAGGTGAACTTAACCCCACAACTGAGCCATGAAAGGACAAACCCATTCCTACTGCCTTCGGAAATGATCCTGAGAGGTCAACTTGCATAGCTTGTTAGAGCTGAAGAAATCTGCAGTCTTTGTTAAGCACCAACAGTAGCTCTTTAATAGTCCAATTTCGTTTCCCCAGGATAGCATGCAAACTACAGATTTTACATGGTAAAACAAACATAACTTCTAGATGTAACAAAGGCTTCATTGTGCTCATCTGAGTCTAAAAACAGAAATGCAAAGTGTAGTTTTCATTAGTGAGGTTTGGGGAGCAGAGAGTGGGTGGCAATAAGGAGAAGGGAGAGAAGAGTTTGCCCTTGAAAATTAACGTGTGGTTGTTACCATGAGTACCGTTCCGACTGTTACTGTTTTAAAAGTTTTCTAAAATATGCAACAGTGGCATGAAAGTTGCAGGGCAGCAGAACTCAACTGATACAGAAGGGCGATATTATTCCTCGAGTGCATCATTACAAATTAAATAACTTGTACACTTGGTAGCAGCATATGGCACAGACATAAACATCTACTGCTTCCATCACTGATGCAGTGAATGTTTTAATACTTGGAAAAATCTGCAACATTTTGCCTTCAGAGTGTAGATTCACAAACAGTACTTTTAAGACTTTAAAAGCACACGATCAAACAAACCTGGAGATAAAAAGGGTAAGTGATAGCACAACGAATTACAAGGGAATGATTCACCAAAAAAAAAAAAAAAAAAGGTGAAAAAACCCCACAACAAAAAAAGGCCAACCAAAAAATTCTTTGGTTTTGGCAGGAGTTCACACTTAACAACATAGAATGTTTAAGTATTAGGCTTTCCCACCTGCAAGGCAAAGGACCCTACATTGCTAGAGAAAAGTGACACCTTGTATAACCTGCCAAAGCACATAATACAGCTAATTACATTGCACGTCAGTGCCAGGCCCAGACGAAGCAGAAACTGGGGGAAATACATGCTTCTCTGTCACTGTCTCAAAGAACTGTGTGTCTGAACATAGTTGTCAGCATGTAGTAACAGATAAAAATAAAACAGATTACCTATTTGTCAAACTGATTTTTTTCAAGAAAAACCTATCCAGTCCAGATTAAGTAGAAACATATAATTACATACTTTGCAGTCCATAGTTGTTTACAGTGGAAAAAAAACACCTTGAGAAATCCACTCCCATATGACTTACAGCAATACTTCTCAAGAGACTGCATAGTCTAGGGTACCCTCACAGAACAGGTTTCTATGCTTAATGCTTTAAATAAAACTTCCAAATATGACCAAAAAATTGTGCAAGATAGTAGTGTCATCTTCAATCTCTTGGCAAATAGCTCCCTTTCCTTCTCTTCTCTACATTTTCTTGAGCTAAAGCAGAACGAGATGATTCAGTATCACCCACTTTTACTGTATTAGGAATATAGAGTTAACCCTAAAACTGATGTGAAACAGTTATATAACAGTTATAGTTATTATACCAGCCACTAACTGAAAAAAACTCCAAATCACAGAAGAGGCAGCCATTGCAACTGTTGAATATGGAGGACTTGCCAGAAGCAGGATGAAAGAGCAGCAAAGAGGAGTCTGATATCTACCTACCTGTATCAACACCTAAGGGTTATCAAGAGGGAACAGACAACATCTTCAGGGAACAAGGAAAATTTATGACACAGATTTTTGGAAATTTAACTCTCAAAGGTATCAGGAAGATTTTTCTAGCCATCGTGGAAGAAATCTTTCAACATATACAGATCATTTTGGTTTCTTCTCCAAGAAGGTTTTAACGGATACTGAGAGTCCTCGTCTCACTTTACTTTTCTCATTAATTTAAATTGTCAGTCCACACTCAAGGAGTAAATAGGTGGAGGTGATATAATAGCAGATAGGTAAAATTGTATATTGCCAAGTAAATGCCTACAGAAAAGGGAACAGGCACAGCTGAGTAGGAAAATGACTCCAGAAGAAAGATGTGGCAGACAGTGAAGAGCAGAGGTAAAAAAGCACAGACTATAACTAAGCAATAGAAACAGCAAACAAAAATAACACAGATCCTCCCATACTGGAAGATGGAAAGGAAAAAGTATAATGAAACCCTGAAGGTTCAAATGCTTTGCAAGAAGGAAAAATATAGTCACACTAAAAATTAAAAGGAGGGGAGGGATAAGTCATAATTAAGTGCAGAACAAATCTATTTGATTGTAATAAGCTGCAGACACAATTGCTTGCAGATCACAGCTATACTTTAGCTTAAATATTCCAGCATTACTCTTAAAAGACTTATCTTTCACCAGCAGTCTTGGAAAGTCTCTACAAATCATTAAGTTCACACAGCCTCAGCAGTATAACAGACACAATACTGTGCACATTTTAACAAAAACGGACTAAAAAGAGATGAAGCAGGAAATGAAAGGCTTAACTGGAATCAGAATTTGCCTCTTCATTCCCAGCCTGTGTTTCAACTGTCAGTTCACAACATCTTTCCTACTGATCATCACTCGGGAAGATTAATATGCCTTAAGATTTTTATTATTTCCACATATATCCAAGCTCATTATTTCTAGTTTATAATCCAACCATTCTAATAGACATAACTTTTTTGCAAATTAAAGACAGCAGGCAACATTTAAGCTAGCCCTAGCATGTTCCAAACATACACTATTTCTACATCAACCTGCTCTAACGTCCTGGAAGTGCCTTCCCTGGAAGTGAATTATTTATAACTGCAACGTCCTCTGACAACAGGAGTATCAAAGTAATTGTCACCATCCGTTCTGAAACTTTTTTGTGTTTTGTTTTTTGTTTTTTTTTTTTTAAATCAGAGGTCCAGCACGTTATGCAACGAGGAAAAAGAAAAAATATCCCAGATGGAAAAGATCAAATGCAAACAATGCAGTACAGGAAACAGCACAAGTAAGGTTTAAAATATCCCTAATACAATAGATCATGTTCAGTCTATGCGTATCCTTATAAATAAACACATATTTTAAGAATGACAACATAGCTCCTCATACGATGTTATTTGTTAACATATACTCACATATACTTCACTGTGATCAAAGCGTTTTTTCAGATTATTGATGAATGAATCTTCATCAAGTGGCTCTAAAAGAACCATATCTCCCACCCCTATCATGTTGTCTAAAAGCGACGTCTTGACCTCCATTTTGGCCATTTTCTTCTGCAAAGAAAGAAACAAGAAAAACAAAGAGCAAAGTTAGCTCAAAATTATTCCAATTATTCACAGGCATTATCCAGTAACACTGTTTTAGGAATACAAGTTAAAAAGCCATCGAATTACATGCTTTAAAATATTTTTCCAAGGAACATTCTCAAAGCCATTCTATCTATCCAGGTAGTCCACACAACTCCAACAAAATTTAACTTCTAACAGTCAACAATCCTTCCTGGTTCACTATACATTAAATATCAAAATGTAAGAAATAGGAATTAAGATTCCAGTGGGCACCACATCCAGACTTTTTGAACGACTTCAACACTGTTCAAGTGTACACAAACCCAAGCCTCATCAACACCTCCAGTGCATCCAATTAGGGTTTAAATTTGTCAATACCCTAACCCGCATTTCTTTCTTGCCCATAGTTGCATTTCTCCAACCTCATCAACTTTTAAATGGAAACCAACTAAGTGAACTCATGCAGAGACAAAACCCACATTTTATCATCTTAATTCATGAACCCTGCACTCTAGAGCACCTATATTCCAGTAGAGTACTGCTCTTGGTAACATGAGGCTACCAAATTACTTCATTTCCTAACCAGACTTACTTGGCTTTATTGCTTAAAAGAGCATTTTCGTTGGGCAGCAACAACCCAGCTGACAAGTGGAGACTCTGCATCTATGTAACTGGAGAGGCAAAAGGCAGAAGTTGGGCTTAAACAAGGGACCAGGGTCAAAGTAACCAAGTCTGACAAATGAAGTAATTCAGACAAAAAAGTGAAGGGCAGGCCAAAACTCAACACCATTTGATTGTCCTAGCCTTTAATCCTTCCAATCCAAATGCTGGAGAAGATTAACCAAGCTCCTCAAAAACTCCAGGCACACAGTTACTGCTTTCAGCCTTCATGCCAAGACTGAAAAATGAACATATTAGCAGTGGCGGCCTGCCAATAGGGAACCAGAGGTGAGAGAACAACTTTGCTGACAACACAAACCAAGAACCAACTATACAACTACAGCTACACAAACTAACAGCTGAACTTCACCAGCCAGATGTAATCTCTCAGCTGTGAAATGCTATCAGGCTGTCCTTGCTCCTCCTATCACTGCAGCATATTTTAATTCTAAATGTTTTTTCTCATTTTTCAAAATGTCGTTGAACAGCTATTAGCTTATACAATTAGTGTTAACTTGCCATAGTAGCTATCCATCAGATAACTAATTTAAAACAAGCGAAGCCTTCTATCTCTTGCTTCTGTCCACAGCCACTGTGTTCCTACATGCTATTTGATTTTTGAGCAGTGAGTGACATTTGAGGGATATTGGATCAAGACTTAAGTAGCGTTTGATGTTTTTCCAAATTCAACGAAGAGAAGCGCAGCTCCACAGGCAGCTAACGGAAGTGATACAGCAAGATCACCAAAACCTGAACCAAGCCTGGGAATTACTAGAAATTCACATGGAAATGCAAAAACAGTGTTGAACTATGGTAACCAACCAAAGCTGAGTCAACTCTGCTAAACAAACAAAAGAGAATTTATTTTAAACAAAAATGCTGGACAAATATTTTTATAGAGAAAGATACTTTTACTCTTAAAAGTTCACCTCTCTGAATCACTAAAAAACTTTTAAATATTCACAAAACCTCTTCAGATTCACTTCGACTTCTGCATCCCATTAAGACAAATACTTTAAACTACCAGTCTTGTTTCAATGACCTTATTACTTCCCATACATCAACTAATGCTCAAATAATTTTTGAAGGCTGGGGAAAAAAAAAAAAAAAGGCCTTCAAGTGTGGAACTTATTAAATATTGGGTTTGTAGCCAAAAAAAAGCCAACATAAAAATCCTAATATGGGCAATTTCAACCTAAATTTTCAGTTCTAAGTAGTATACCTCATCTACCATTGTGAAATTACATACCACCTACCACACTTCATGCATCACTGCTCAGGAATTTCAAGACCAAGAGCAGCCAAACCCATCAAGAATGTTCACGTATTACCAAGCTGAGAGGCACATTTTGCAGAAGGGTTGCATAAGACACTATATCTACTACTAAAAGCTGGACCAGAAAGTTGTATATAAATATTAATTTATCAATATATTTGAAAAGTTCAATTTTATGGTCAAAGGTTAATTTTCAGCTTGTTTTTTTCCCACAATAATTTAACATCATGCTATGGTTAAAATATTTCCATTAACTTGAGAGCTAGAAAACATTAGAAACCTAGATGATGAAAAAGTTGGACAATAAATATGCCTAGACATCTTGTTTAATGCTGCATTGTCAAAATCATTTGCAACAGCTTAGCCTTTGCAAAGCTTACCTCATACACTGATGTATGATTCAAGAGTATTCTGCCATACCAATGTAGTTAGCCCCCGCTTTGGTGGAATCTAATCATAATCCCCGCTCTGGTTTAGCTAACAACAAAGGAACATCTGGCAAGCTTGTGGGATAATTTGGTTGCCTATCTGAGGTAATAAATGGGGAAAAAAAGCACTGTTAAGAAAAGCCTACAATGTTTAAATATACATTAAACAATTACATTTAATTTAATCTATAATTTAATCCACTAGAATAATTTCATAGAAGATCAAATATACAGCACTTTCAAAACACCAAATACTAATTTTTAAAATCGCTTTTAAAAAAAACTCAAAAAATCAGCACGCTACACAGAAAAGAAAAAAAATCAAACCCTTGCTACATTGCAAGACTAAACTTCAGTCAAGACTTTTAGCAGTATGTCACTAAGCTCAGAAATTCAATCCAGATCCACGTCCAAGTATTTGTATTTGCCATATATTCAAAGACGCCTTGCAGCTGGAAATCTTTTCCCATCAGTGCTGGTAACAACATGCTCACCACAATTCGGAGAGCACTACATAAAAGTAAGTGGGTTCCACCTGTGTATGTACTCATGCACCTTTAAAAAGATGAGTTTCTCAAGAATCATTTTCAAGATCCAGAACTATGAGAGGGACCGGACCAAAACCGCTCCCAGTGTCTGAGAGATCAGTAATGACTGAAGTCACAGCTGTGCTGGTGAGAGAGCACCAGCCAACAGGAAATTGGGTTAGAGGAAAGAACCAGAATTGGTTGTGTCCTTTAAAACAAGGACACCTTTAGTTATTTGCAAGTGAAGATTGCTGAATGGGGGGAGGTGGATGGAAGTACTGCTGTGAGGCTCTATTTGAACTGTGCTGTAATTTCATTCTGGAAATTCAATAAAAACTAACCCAAAAATATAAGTGGTACTCCCTTGATTTACCTAATACATTGCTTTTGTGACTGCAACTTCTCATTATGTTGACATCACAAAAAACAAGTGTTGTATAAAGATTACAGCTGCAAATTATTAATACAGTAAATTAGCTCAGGGAAAACACCCAAAATTCTCATAATGCTTGCAGCCTGCAAATCAGATTCCTCCTCACATTCCCTGATCTCTCCCACACTGACTTGCCACTTGAGTCTTCTCCCAAATTTACCTTTCTTATTCCTAAAGCAAATATCAGCAGCATTTCAGAACATGTCTCTTTTCTCTAGTCATTTGTCAAATCTGTTCTTCCTCATTTTGGTCTCCTATCTAGGCCTTAATTCAATGGAGTGAGAACACTTTCAACACGTTTCCATTCTCAGAAAAATAGAAAAGATTATGCAGTAATCCTTCACCACTTGATCTGTTTTATGTTGGACAACAAGCTTGGGAGGAGAAGTGCTGGGCATGCTACATCTGTAAAATGGTTTTTATCCACACGCGCCTGTGTTAACACGTAGGCTTTCAAAACACAGACTGCTGTAGCTACTACTGGCAATGCCTGGGATTGCCATCCAGCTAGGCCAGTTGAATCTAAAACATTCTTGTCCCTCTTGGCTACAAGGATGGCAAATTAAAAAAATTACGCTATTCTGCAGCAGTCCTATCATCAGTCAATCTGAAATGAGAGCTAACGAAAACTATAAATAGAAGATGACACAGAAATAGGCAAAACCCCCAAAGCCTTGTACAATTAAGTTCAGACATCCTCCAACGGGGAAATGAAGTAATACCCCGTTATTAATATAAGGCACATTACGGAATTGTCCAAGGTTTTCCACATCACCCTCACACAGTAAAACAGCAACAATTGTCAGCTGCTTCCTACAGATGTGCAGTCTTTAGAATACATTTGCATTTGCTGCACTGGAATTACAACAGGCAGAGGTGGCCTGTTTTGCTTCCTTTGTGGCATTGTAGCAAAAGGACAATTTCCCTACCATCAAAATTGTCACAATAGATGTACTCACATATGCTTCAAGCTCGGACAATTAGGGGAGAAAAAAAAAAGCGCCTTTGTTTTCTCTACCATCAACTCACTGTAGAAAATAATCACCTTTTTCTTTTACAAGAGTTAACAGGAACAACCTGCAACACCAGTAATTCAACAGTGGAGTTCAAACTGATTTCATGTTCCAGGTCTGGTCCTGAGGTCCCATCAGGCTGTAATTACGCTTGCCCACTCATTCCGTTTTTGCTCTGTCAGGGAGCAATTGGCCCACACAGAGCAGGGACACTGACAGGCCACGGCTGCAAAAAACAGCTAGGGACACAGTGTCATTACCTGAACAAAGTCAAACCAAACGGTACTACAGCCATCTCGTACCACTCACGACAAGTGTAAGTACCATTTTAGCAATAGGCAGGATTTAAGTTCATCCTGTTCTGCTGCCAAACAAACCCCACACATCTCTCACCTCTGACTGATGCCCAGAAGGTGCAAGTTCATTGGAACACCTTGTGCTGGTTGACCAGGTAAACTGAGGCAGGCTCTGCAGATGAACTATTTATAGTGCCCTTTTCAGTCAAAGCTAGATCTCCCAACATCAGCATGTAGGAAAACATTGATACCATCCAAAGAAAATATTTGCTTTGCCTCCAGATCGCCTAACTTTTTAGACTCTGGATGCTGCAGGGCATCTGTGCATGCAAGTATCTGCTGCTTG